CAAAATACTAGTTTCATCTATAATTATTGTATGTGGAACATTATTTGTCTTCTGGAGAGAGGTATGGCAAAGATACATCTATTTTTAAGTTTATTTATTTTTTTATCATTATTTATCATTAATTCAGTGCCTTTTATGGGGCTGAAAAAAACTTGGGATTTCCTATAGCTTCTACATGCATGACAGTCTGTTTTTAAAACAAAAGGCATCTCAGATTCGGTGTTAGAAAAGGTTTGGAATCTAATCAATGATTTTTCAGCAGCGAATGAAGTAATAACAGTAGAATCAGATCTAGTATTGAAAGCACTCAACCTTCTGATATTAAATTATCAGCTCCTTGTGTAAGATGAATAAATCGTACTTGAGGCTAGTGACTTAAGGTTGGCATTATTTATTGAAGCCTATTAGCCTTAAGAATACATGATTCTGAGGAAGATTCTGACCTGTGATATGTCTGGGCAGAGAAACCTTATGGACATGGATATAAATGTCATGTTTCATATCATTCTATGAGTTTCAACAATTTATTTTTATTGTGGAAGTATATCTTCCACCAAGTAAAAATTATTTCTAATGACCTTTATTTCCTGTAATATGTTTATGCTTTAACAAATGTATTCACGCTTTCACTAAAAAACTGTGAATCACTTTATCTTGTGAATGAATTACTGTGTACAACCCACCTTCTGAGCTTGACAACTAAGGAAAAATTTGTAATAAACCAGGTTTCTAAAGTAAACTCAAATTTCTAGCTGTTGCATTACATTAGTTCGTTAATTTCCTTAATGCATGTTAATGGCTTATTTGAAGCAAACCGGGCGTAGATTTAAACTAATTTTGCTGTTTTGTAAATCAGCAATTCTGTTGCTTTTTCTTCTAAATGCAATATAAAGCTTTAACAGTTTAAGAGGGTTTTTAGGAACAGCATTGATAAAAGACGGCAACAACTATGGTTATACTCCCCCTTTCATCCCTTTATGTATGGTGGAAACTGGCCACCAGTCATGGCCCAAGTTCCAGAAACTACAGAATGGGACCTTGGCACAACAGGTGCTTAAATGAGAGATCTGTGTAGCAACTGAAGCGTGACTGGAATAGCTTTTACTTTGAGCAGGTTACGCATCAATTTAAGAGATATATAAAGACTGACAGGTATGATGACAAAGTTGGCTTGGCACATATAGATCCCATGTAGACAAACGTGATTGTGCAAATGCTTTTGTGAATCAGAATAATAGAGTTGGAAGAGACCACCTGGGCCATCTAGTCCAACCCCCTGCCATGCAGGAAAAGCATAATCAAAATGATGTCTTTGGAAACCATGTACAGTCTGAAACAGTATAAAATAAAAATCAATACATCTAATTGACTGTTTGAAATTATGAAATAAGGAGAAGACTTTGTTACTCGCCTCTCCTCACAGTTTGAGGCAGAGTACACCACAGTTAAAACACATCGCCATAAAATACATACAGTAAAATGCAAACATTAAAACACATTATAATAAGATCATAAAATACATATATTGAATAAATAGATTAAATGTATTTTGAGTGTGGGAGGAAATGGTTTTTAAAGTACTCAATAGTGAGCTTATGTTTCTGGTGCTAATATATATTCAATCTTTTTATTTCTCTTTGCAGTTGCGAGACAATGTCATAACACCTCGAGACACAACAATGACTTTCACTTGCTTTGTCTTTTTTGATATGTTCAATGCCTTGAGTTCCAGATCTCAGGTATATGACCTACATTTTATGATATATAGTAGTTAAGAATTCAGACACTATCTGCAAATTTTCAAACTTTTACTGATGAAGTAGGTCAAAAATGTACCTGGTCTAAATAGTTTCACAAAAAGTTCAATAGGAAAATCAATTATATAGTATTAAGCTTTAATTTGATTTTTTCATTGTAATGACTCAGTATTTTTTTCCTTAACTTCTAGACTAAATCTGTGTTTGAAATAGGACTCTGCAGCAACAAGATGTTTTGTTATGCAGTTCTTGGATCTATAATGGGACAACTATTAGTAATCTACTTCCCTCCTCTTCAAAAGGTTTTTCAGACAGAGAGTCTAAGCATATTAGGTAAGGGTGGCTTTATTTATTTTGTGTTGGAATTTTGTGAAAAAATGCTGTTAGAAATTTACATTCTTTGGTAGTCAACTGTGTTTGCAAAACATCCACAAATAGATGAAATTTATATTCACTTCAGATGTGAAACTATCACATGCTAGTGTGTTCCCCTCTGTATTTTGAACGCTTCTGGGAAACAGGTCTAGCAATTACAGCAAAATCAAAGAACAGAATACCATATTGGAAACTAGCATATTAATTTGAGCTAAGGTTTATGGACTGGCTTCCTTTTGAGGGTGCAGTTTCAAGACATTCTTTTTTTTTATTAAGCCAATTTTTCTCAAATCAGAATTTTACAACTATTGTTCCCAATTGAGAATGATGGCTGAGGACAGTTTTGCCTTACCCAACTCATGTTCTCAGTGGGGTACATTAACAGGGTATAGCTATTTCTGATGCCAGATTATACCTTGCTCATGTTCCCATTGAGAAAGTGGAGAAATTCTTAGTTGGGTCACAACAGCAGGAATTTCTCGGTTGGGAATCTTAGCAGCATGGAGGAGAAATGCCCTTGTTATCAAATCTGAAAAAATAAGGTTATTTTATGTGTTAAGAAAGGTCTGGGAACCTATAACCTATTGCAGGAAGAAGGGGGAAATAACACCAGAGATTGAACAGGGCTATGTTGGAAGCCGGCCTGAGTTCCCATAGGGAGATAGGGTGGGATACAAATGAAGTATTATTATTATTATTATTATTATTATTATTATTATTATTATCATCATCATTATTATTATCATTAGTATTATTAAGTTATTGTTGACACCATATTGTCTTTGTTGAACCTACTTTTTCTTTGAAATACAGTAAATATTCAAAAATGTTTCACCTATTGATGCCTCAATTAATTGTATTGGTAATTTTATTGGTATCTATTTTGAATTTGAAATTTACCAGTAACTGCTGCATTTCACAACCTCGGCTTATATTCGAGTCAGTCTGTTTTCCCAGTTTTTGTGGTACTATACTAAGGGTATATTTAGGACACAGGGCATCATTTCTTATAATCAACAATCAATAGTCCAAAGCATATCTCTGTTCTGAGAGTCTAATAAAGTCTCTGTTTCTACACTAAAGTCTCTAAGCATACTGTTCCTACTGAAGTCTAAAGCATACAGGTTCCTGCTGGCGTCTGAAAGCAAACTGTTTCTAAAATGGAGTCTAAGCCCTGAACAAACCCAGACCTGATCACATGGTCTGCAGCCCCTCCCACAACAGAGTTAAAGTAAAATTGCAAACCAATACACACATATACATACAGTAAGCGATCTGAATTATATACATAACAAATAACTAGTGAGGGCTTGAGAAGGTTGCTATTTCCAACAAAATTATATGTTAGATAGTGCAGCCAAGACACATTCATATAAATTTTCTTGGAAGGCAATTGAGGTTTATCAGTATTTGAAAGCTATAAATCAGATATGTAATTCACATAAAAATGGTGGGTTTTTTTTAAAAAAAAATTGTGCTGTAAAAGACAAAGCATTCATAAATGGGAAAACATCTCCTATACACGTATAAGTCTAGAAATTTTAGTCAAAAAATCAACCCCCAAAACCTGGGTCTATGAGTCAGTGTGAATACTGTATCTTAACTCTTATTTTGTTTAAAATTGAATGATCCCTTCTGTAGAGTGGCAGAAGTTGAGAGCTCAGTCTGTCACAGAAGATCCTAAAAGAAACACTGGCCACTTTTATTCTCTCTGGTGTGAAGTCACTTCTGGCTTATTTGAATGCCATGGTGGGGAGATGGCAGTGATAGTCAGGGGCGGCTGGCCCCTGAGATGGCATTGATGCTTTCCCCTCTCAGTGGAAGGATCCCCAACCTATTGAAATCCATAATTTTGCCCCCAAAATCTGCCCTCACCTTATACATTAATATGTACGATATACTTTTCAACAAAAGAGAGTGACAGTAGAGAAATTTAGGATTAAACCTCTGTTTCAGTCTGTTGAGAGGCAGTACTTGTGGCCTATATTTTTCAATGTCTTATTTTCCTTTCAATTTCAGATTTACTGTTTCTCCTGGGCCTCACCTCTTCTGTGTGTATAATAGCAGAGACTATAAAGAAGGTTGAAAGAAGCAGGGAAAAGATCCTGAAACCTGGCAGATCCTCATCTTTACCATCTTTTCTTGATGTATGATGCACATTGCCTTCTTTGTGCTTTCAAAACTAGAAACTGCTGTTTATGTAGGAGGAACATAAGAAGATAAAGGGCTTTTGACAAGTCCTCCTTTTCACTGATTGATGAACACTGGCAATTTTAAAGACTGTTTAATTCTCACTTTCCAGCTGGGAGATTAATAAACAATATTATGCAACTTTGGTAATATTTTTCCTCAAAGACAACTTTTACTTTTTCAGATTGAATGGAAATTTCTAAGTGTGAGAGGTCACCTTAAAATGTCGAAAATCAGGCCCACCTTTTTGCTCCTGAGAAATATGTGTATAGAAACATGTATTAGATAAATATTTTAGTTTTTATTTTTTAAAAAAGCCTTTTATGCTGGTGGTGGGACTTTACTATTATGTATGAGGCATTCCAGCTGGTTTAGAGTTGTAAGAGGTGCCATATTTCAGCTCCCATATTTATTTACATTTCCCTGCAACGTGTACATTGTGCTACCCTTTTTTAAATCTTACGTTCTTTGCACAGGATGTTACCACTATCAAATCACTTGTCTTTTCTTTCTTTTTGTGATTGAAAAGCCTATATTGCAATTTTGAAGTAAATGTCTGCTTTTCTTAAAAGGTGTGAATGCGTATCTTAATATTTTAAATGAAGCTGGGTCACAAACTTAAAAAATGATTTCCCCATGGTTGGTTTTTCACTTCTGCAATAATCACAGAACTCTTACTTTTCAACAACAACGATTTTATTATGGTCCAAAGACCCTTTTTTCTCCATAGGTGTACAAAGTAATAAGGTTAACAACAGCCGACTGATTATAGACACATCGTTGGATAAAATTTACAGCAGTTAAAACTGCTTACTTATATTAACAACCTCCTGCTTCTAACCCATAAGGCCCACCCACCCAACAATATCTTGATTGTCAACAGTATGAATTCCAGACAAGCCACAACATAACATCAGAATTCTTCCACAAGTGGTTGATCTTACAGTGTAAAAGTATCAGACTAGGTTTTCTTCCTTCCTTTGTAATAAGCCTTTGAAATAGAGCTAACAGAACTCTTTTTAAATGGATTATCTATCTGAAAGGGCTTCCCTGATACTTTTTGTGTATGTTTTGCTAATAGAGGAACTTATGATGGGAGGAGATGTGAACATCAACATTGAATCATTGATTTAAATATTAGATATTATCTTGCAATTTCTTCTTGCTTGATACAAAAGAACAAAATCGTTCTCTATGTTCATAGCAGGATTTCTTTCTCTGCTTTTTTTTGCTCTAAATTTCCCTCATCACCCTAAAAAAACCCTGCCCTATGAGTGGAGGGCTCTTCAGTGATTTAAAAGCATGATCATTCCCAAAAAGAAACACACAGTCTTCCTCAGATGTGCATATACAGGACTGTGCTTTCTACTCATGTACAATGCTTTTTTGTATTGTCGAAGGCTTTCATGGCTGGAATCACTGGATTCTTGCAGGTTTTTCGGGCTATATGGCCATGTTCTGGAAGCATTTTCTCCAGATGTTTCGCCTTTATCTATGGCAAGCATCCTCAGAGGTTGTGAGGTCAGACCTCATGCAGATGCAGGCGAAACGTCAGGAGAACAACTTCTAGAACATGGACATATAGCCCGAAAAACCTACAAGAACCTAATGCTTTTTTGATCTGAGGTTGTTTGAAGGGGCCTACATTTTTCCATCCGAAAGGTGGTACATGATTTCCAGTTGCATGAAGAGAGGCGTTTTTCCTATTTGGAGAATGTGAATTGCCTTCTCATCGATATTTCTTATTGGCATGATAAAGTTGTGGTCCTTTCATTTTGATGATTGCTGGTGCAGGTTCTGATATCCCCATATAGGGATTTCTTCAGATGGCTCACAAGACATATTTAGTGCCTTCTAATAAGAAAAACTGAGCATTAAGAATGTATCTTATAAATACTCAATATTCATAAAGCAATGTGTCCCATAGTGAGGAACTTAGCCCTTTAATAAGCAAATTCTGCTTCTTCTCCATTATTTGGGAATAAATTATATAATGTTAACATTGTACACTTCTGGTATTATCTTTTGATTATTGCCAAGTTTCAGGAAGAGTACAGATGAAATTTCACCTGCAAGGGCAGGTATACCTGAGGATTGGTGGTTTCATCGTGTACCTTTAGTTCTCCACCATCAATGTTGCAAATCTATTGCTACTACTGCATGAAGGCAAATTGTCCAGAGCAGTATTTTCTTTTTTATCTAGCAGTTTGCCGTTGCAATGCTTGTTCTTTCTTTTATGGTCTTTGGACTTCTTTTTCTGGAAGAAGCCTGATGGTGTTGCATCTTTTATTATACGTACCAAATTGCAATAAAGTTGGTGCATTCTTGGAGATGCACTGAGCAAATCCTCTGGTGTGGATACTAATTTTAATTCATGATACAGTTTGTGCACCAGAGTCCCACTGTAAAGCCTGGCAAAGACAGGAAAGAAAATGATTAACATGCTATATGTCTAGTAGAATATTATACTACAGTATTGGCAAGAAATTTCTCATACTCACATATTTTGACGCTTTCAATACTGGTGTTAGTCTTTGAATTCGATACATCATCTGATTTTATTTTTTACCTAATTTGAGATCTAAATGTTTTGTAATTATTTTTTCCTATAGGCAGAAAAAATTGACTATGGGCAAAAATACAGATTGTCTCAGTTGCCATGTGGGAACTGGGAAAGTTAGGATATAGCTAACAGGAATCTAAATCCATAGAATACCACCAAAAGATTCCCAAAACAGGGATAGAATTGGAGGCATCAAAATGTGCACTGGTTTGTGTTATTCACCAGGGAAGCATGACTGCTGGTGTCCCCTGCCATGGTTAAGAGAACTGGGCTTATGTGGATGGGATGTAGGAAAAAAAAAAGAGCCCAGGGTCAGAATCCATCATTACTATAACACTGCCTGTAGCACTTCCAATATTTGCCTCAATCTATTCATGAAAAGATTTAGTTCCATATAAATCAACTGTTGGCCATGCCTTTGTCAAAAGTAACATGCTAATTTTATAAACCTAGAATTAGGCATACTTCAGTCCCATTGTAATTCTTGAGATTTTGGACTGATTCTGTGATGCAGACTGATCCTACATATCCTTATTCAGATATTAGATCCTCTGACTACAGTAGAATTTACAAAAATGTGCATACATTTGTGGGTGAGTTCTTACCGTGTAAGATCTGGCTCAGAAAGAGGACAACAAAGCAGCTGATTGAGATACAATCCCATTTGAAGACAGCACTGCCACTGGCAAAAAATGTGTGCAGCATCTAACTCCAATGGTTCCTTTTGATATTTCTTTTCTTTCCGTTTCAATAACTGGTCATAAACAATTTTATTGACTTCAATGTGTGGAACCTCGGGATCTATACAACAAAAGAAAACACCTTTTCTGAATGCTTCAGAACATTGTGAAAATATTTTTAATGTGTGTGAAAATATGTTAAAATGTATAACATATTCTCCCCAAAACAATAACTATTGTTTACTAACCCTACTAAGAAGGAGATTGTCCAGCTGGAATGTGTCCAAAGAAGGGCAACCCAAATGATTACAGGTTTAGAAGTCAAGCTCTATGAGGAACGGTTGAGGGAGCTGAGTTTGTTCAGCTTAGAGAAAGGAAGGTTGAGAGAAGACATGGTAGCCATGTTTAAATATTTGAAAGGATGTCACACTTGAGGAGGGGACAAGCTTGTTTTGCACTGCTCTGGAGACTCGAACACACACCAATGGATTCAAATTACAGAATGAGAGATTCCACCTAAACATTAGAAAGAACCTTCTGATGGTAAGGGTATGCTGCCTCACAGGGTGGTGGAGACTCTCTATAAATCTTTAAGCAGATAATCTGTCAGGAGTGCTTTAAGTGTGTGTTCCTGCATGGCAGGAGGTTAGACTGGATGGCCCTTGTGTTCTATGATTCTACCCCAATAACCTTTCCTAGATAAAAAAGTATGTGTAATTAATATAACTGCATTTTCGCCATTATTTTATTTCTACCTCCATTTCATACCTCTTTTCCCTGTTCTTTGTAAGATCTTATTTACAAACATGGCACTGTAAAATATAACAGTATGGTAAAAAGTTGCAATTGGAAAATATAATTTTACCTGGAGAATATTTTTTCCTATCGTGTTTTCTATGTACTTTCTCACACTATATGCTTATTTGTTGTTTATTCGTTCAGTCGCTTCCGACTCTTCATGACCTCATGGACTAGCCCACTCCAGAGCTCCTTGTCAGCCGTCACCACCCTCAGCTCCTTCAGAATCAAGCTAGTCACTTCAAGGATACCATCCATCCATCTTGCCCTTGGTTGGCCCCTCTTCCTTTTTCCTTTCATTTCCCCCAGAATCAGTGTCTTCTCTAAGCTTTCTTGCCTTCTCATTATGTGGCCAAAGTACTTCATCTTTGCCTCTAATATACTTAGCCACAAATGGCAAGAGACCAATCTTTGAACCCAATATTTGTAAAACTGTGCAAAGTATATCTAAAAGAAGAAATCTCCTTAGAAGATGATTTCAGTTAACTTAATGCCTGTTCTAATAAGACAGCTTTCCATAATACTGGAAAGCCTTGTTTGCACATATGCAGAGATGTGGAGGTGGAATCTGCAATACTACTTTAACCACTTAGTTTCCATCGTGAGGGTCTTTCATCATCCCAATCTTTTGCTCACACTTCCTGTACCATTTAGCCATGAAGAACATGTGACCTTCTACATACTCTTGAGCTACAGCTTTTATTAACCCTCACCAGCATAGACAAGGTTAAATACTGATGGGAGCTGTAGTCCAAGAACACAGAGACCTGTAGCTTTCCCTACTCTTAGAAAAAGACATAATATGCAAGCCATTTTCCACAATTCTACTTCTTGAGACTGGGATCTTCTTAGTGATCGTAGAGGTATCTTGGAATGGGTGTCAATGCACATAAGGGTATTTCATTACATATCTTTTAGTTGTCGTGCTACGAAGAGATATACAATATAAAAAAGCTTAGCTACATTTCAAAGTATGCCATTAATGTTTATAAAACTGAAACCAAAGTATAAGAATGGAGGAGGTTGAGGAACTACTGCTCCCATCGTGCTTCATTACTCGTCAAGTTGTTTAGGGCTAATGGAAATTGGAATTCAGCAGTAATTACTTCCCAGCTCTGCTTTAGGATATAGCAATACTAGTCAACAACTGAAATGGAGAGTGCTTATGTGTACACTGATGTATAGAAACAATCTCTGACGAACTGAAGTTTGAAACATGGTACAAGTGACCCTCTGAACGTACCTGAGCGATGTACTGTCTTGTCCAATTCACCAAATACTACTCCAAGAAGTAAAGCCTTCATGTGCTGTAACTTCACTTTGGGTTCAGCATGTTGTATCCAGTAACAGGTTACAGCTACAGGAAGGTGCAGGTGACAAGGAACTGTTTCAAGGATGCTATCTGTCACTCCTAATGTCTCTAGCAAAAAGAGTTGGCGGTCTGATAAGGGAATCTGTGAATCAAAACATTGCAAAGTTATTGTGAGGAGGTTTGACTTTAACATTCAAACTATATGTTTACCCCATTTTGGACAATGAAGCTATAAGCAAAGGAGTCATAGTACTTGCATAGTAAAGGTAAAGGTTTTCCCCTGTCATGAAGTCCAGTTGTGTCCAGCTCTGGGGTGTGGTGCTCATCTCCATTTCTAAGCCGAAGAGCCGATGTTGTCGTAGACACCTCCAAGGTCATGTGGCCGCCATGACTGCATGGAGCGCCATTACCTTCCCACCGGAGCGGTACCTATTGATCTACTCACATTTGCATGTTTTCGAACTGCTAGGTTGGCAGAAGCTGGGGCTGACAGCGGAAGCTCACGCCGCCCCCTGGATTCGAACCTGTGACCTTTCGGTCAACAAGCTCAGCAGCTCGGCCACTTTAACCCACTGCGCCACCAAGGGCTCCATATAAGACCAGTTATCCCTACATCACATTCCCTTTGACATGCTTTTAGAAAAATCTAATTTTACACAAGTGAGCTGAACATTTTCCTTTAATCTGTCCATTACTTTAAAGCTCTTTTTTATTATTAAAAGCCACATTTTCCTAGGGCATACAATGGCTTATCAACTATTTAACCCTTCTAAATGAATTTAAGTAGTCAGCGATAACATCAAGCCTAAATATGATGGTGATGGTCCAAAACTGCCCTTCTGTGACCCTAACTGAGCTGAAAACAGCCATGCTGGCTGAGGAATTCTGCTCCCTCCTATTTATACCTCATATGCTATCATACCCACCCACCCATACCTGTTTTTTTTCTAAACAGGAATGTGTTGCTCACCAGAGCTATTGCACAACTCTTGCTGTGTTTCATCACTGACTATGCTAGTTAGGGTTATTAAAGAGATTTAAAGATGGCCTTAAAGTTAAGCTTTAAAACTGTGGCACAGACACCGAAAACTGGGAAGCCCTGGTCCTTGAGTGCTCTAGCTGGAAGTCAGCTTTGACCAGCAGTGCTGTGGAATTTGAAGAGGCATGAATGGAAGATGAAAGGGAGAAACATTCCAAGAGGTAGGCGTGTCAAGCCAACCCTGACCGGGATCGCCTTCCACCTGGAAACCAATGCCCTCTCTGGAAGAACATGCAGATTAAGAATAGCGCTCCACAGTCACCTAAGTACTCGCTGCCAAGACTCCACATTTGCAAGGCCATCATACTCGGACATTCCCTAAGTTTTAGAAATCTTTTAATTATATCAAGAGGCATTAGCAATGCATTTTGTGTTTATCTCTGAAGCTACAACAGCCAGAAAATTGGAATCCTAGATCCCTAGAAGGGTGTTATAGGATACATGAAGGGAAGTCATCTAAGGTAGACTCCAAGGCAGATCTTCAAGGGTGAGAACAGACTGAGATCTAAGCTCTGCTAATCTGTGAGAGAATCTTCAAGCCCTTTGCCTCTCTAATGTCAATAAAGGCAAAATAATATTTCAGATGTGTATGATAGGCAGTGGTAGAGCTTTGGATGTGAAGAACCCATAGTTCTATTCTTCAGGCGTATTTCCATCATGAGGGGAAATTGTGGCAAGCTGAAGGCGGGATTTTTACAAAAATACCCTTCCAGAGTGAATCTAGTAGAGGTTTGAATGATATGGTTCATCTATCTTGGGTTTAATATCTGCAGTAAGTAGGATTGTTTTGCCAAGCTGACAGCCCAAAGGAGCCAGATTCTGTCTCACATGCCATCTTTTTTTTGTACAGAAGTATGTGTGCTTTATTATATTCTCTTCATGCACATCATTTTAATCATTTACCTGATTTAATGTAGTCAGGGAATACTGGTCACTCCCAAATTTTCCAGACAATACTGCTGCTGAAACAAATGATTTCTTCAATGCCTTTTGAATCCTGTCAAATTCATGGAAAACAGGGGTGGATGAAGTGGGCTCTTTGCTTGGGGATGAACTGGGCGACCCCTGTGAAGCATTCCAAAGTAATCCATAAATAACCTGTCGAATTGGCAGAGCTACAGCATGAGCGCTAGGCCTTTGCATATTTTCCACCTGAACATGAAGCATTGTTCTTTTCAACACCAGGGCATCACAAATGAATGGTGACAAAACTCCTTTAGCAAAAGCAGTACAAATCCAATGAGGTAGTTCTAATTTTTTCACTTCCTCAGATTCATAAACTCCATCCTGAAAAAAATCTTTGAGGTTAACATCAGAGGGTTGATAATCTTCCATGAAAGCGGAAAGAAGTTGCCTTGTTTCCTCGGCTTCGTGTTTTTTCAGATACTTCAGTATATTTTCCATTGCCTCAGAAGGATCAGCAAAACGAGACAGCCAATTCAGCAGCCCATGAATGCGGAGGTGCTTTCTTCCTTTCTGCCGGGAGCTTCCGACAGGAAGATGTACCTTGCTAAAAAACATTTCTATAGCTGGCAGATTAATGTAATCATTGCCATTCACCACCGCAAAAAGAGGCAGGAGAGTTTTATTCATGTTGCTGAAATGGTTACAAAATCTTTCTAATGAGAAGCACCTCGCTGGGATGGAGCAGTCTTGCAAGCCTTTGCCACGGCAAAGGGTTTTCCACTGAAAGTAATTCAGAGGACAATAGCCTGCTTTTAGGTCAAATATGCAGAAGTCACTATCTAATGTTAACACCGGGCAATTCAAGTGATTGGCTAATGACACAATGTCTCTGTCTGCTTCTGAAAAAGACTGGACAAAAGGAACTTGTATTTGAGCCAAGATCTGTTTGAAGGCTTCTCTGATGAGCAAAGGCAATACGCTCCCACCGCCACCGCAGGAGAGAGAATGGGCTGCCTGGATCTTCTCCCGAGCTCTTTCTTTTAATGTTGTAAGCTTTTTGTCAGATGCATCACACCCTCCATCTAGCACAACATAAGGCCGTATGTTACACATTGTCAGAGCTTCAAAAAACTGATGTACAACATTTGTGAAAGAATCGTAATCCCCACCGTGTCGGACATCGAGATTTGAGTCAAAGTAAAGGCGATGGTAGAGGTTATTTCCATCAATTACTACATCTGTGTTCCTTAACTGCAAGTCAATGAAGAATTCCCTGTGTTCCCCTACATAGCTCATAAACCCTTGGATGCCCATACTGCTGAACAAAAGGTCCCTGTTGAAAAAAAAAGGCATACATTAGTATTTAAAATGCAATGTGATGCACCAACATCACCATTAAGTGAACAGTCAGAAAATAAGAAACTTTTTTTCTTCCTAATGATGTTTCCCCCAAAATAAGACACTGTCTTTTAGGGTTGTTGTAGGTTTTTTGGGCTGTGTGGCCAGGTTCTAGAAGCATTCTCTCCTGACATTTCACCTGCATCTATGGCAGGCATCCTCAAAGGTTGTGAGGTCACAGCTATGGATGCGTCATAGATGCAGGCAAACCATCAGGAGAGAATGCTTCTAGAACATAGCCATACAGCACGATAAACCTACAACAACCCAGTGATTCTGGCCATGAAAGCTTTCAACAATACACTTATATTTATTTTTCCTAAAGAAGTCACACTATGGCTTATTTTCAGGGGATGCCTTATTTTTATCACAAATGGTACAACAATCTGCATTTATGGGATGATCTCTCTGAGCTCAGTAGCAGACTGCTTGCTGAAGTTTTCCCCCTATCTCCTGGTGTTTGTGTGGGGTGAGAGAAACCCACAGACTGTTGCTGGTCAGTGCTGGGGAGCAGCAGCTTTACTGGTGTTTGTGAGGGATGAGACACCCATAGACTGTTGCTGTTTGGTGCTGGGGAGAGAGACCCACAGTGTTGAGTAAAACGGCAGCCACAGCTTTACTTCTTCCCCATGAGGATACACAATACCTAAAGCAGAGTGTCCTGCTCCTCACTTCACTGAGACTTTTACTTTCATTTTCCATGTCTCCCTTTATGGTTTTGCATTTTATGTAATTTATTTTCTGATTTTCTGTTGTATTTTTGTGTTTATATTGTGTTTACTATATTGATGGGCGTGGCCTTATGTAAGCCACCTCGAGTCCCCTTAAGGGAGATGGAGGCAGGGTATAAATAAAGTTTTATTATTATTATTATGCCTTAGCTTGCAGCATGCACACAACGACTGGGGCCGACAGGGGGAGCCAACCTTGTACGCTACATAGCCACGCTTATCACTAAGTCTTATTTTCAAGATATGGCTTATGTTGTGCAAATGCCTAGAAATCTTGCTACGCCTTATGTTATAGATAGATATAATTCACACACACACACATATATACCTATATGACAGATATAGTATGATAGATTTGAAAGGGACCCCTAAAGAAGGACAATTATATGTTGCCTGTTCCAGAGTAGGCAAACCAGACCATCTCCACATCAACACTGACAAAAAAAACAAGAAGTATTGTTTACCCACAAGCATAAAGAAATTAAATATTAGAAACCAATACTTTCTCATTATTTTTGAAATCACTAGACTGGGCCACAGCAATGCGTGGCAGGGGACAGCTAGTACTTTAGTCAAGGTAAAGGTTTCCCCTGACATTAAGTCTAGTCTTGTCAGATTCTGTGGGGTGGTGCTCATCTCCATTTCTAAGCCAAAGAGCCACCATTGTCCATAGACACTTCCAACGTCATGTGGCTGGCATGACTGCATGGAGCGCTGTTACTTTCCCACAGAAGTGGTATCTATTGATCTACTCACATTTGCATGTTTTTGAACTGCTAGGTTGGTAGAACTTGGGGCTAACAGCAGGAGCTCATGCCTCTCCCCGGATTCGAACTGCCAACCTGTATCATGACTTGAGTTGTCATTCAATCTGATGTCCTATATTATATTTACAGATCCTGTTAATTTGCTCTGTTTCCATATTTCCTATGCCGTTACACATTGTTATCCACCTTACTAAACCACCTCATTCTTTAATCAGTTCGCGTAGTGGTTTTCCTCCCCCCCCCCTCCAAAATTAGTCTGCTGTTATTGTTGTTGCCCGCTATTATTGTTATATTGTCTTATGCTGTTTTATGCAGTCTGAATTGTTATTGCTTTGTTTTTAATTGTATTCTGCCTTGGGCCTGGGCCCCATGTAAGGGGAGATGGAGGCGGGGTAGAAAAATAAAGTTCTTCTTCAAGTTCAGCAGCTCAGCGGTTTAACCTGCTGCACCAATAGGGGCTCCATATACTTTACTCATGCATTAAATTATTGCATGCGTAGATGATATGGCAGAAAACAAGAAAAATTACTCTCATAAATTATGTATTTGATGGAGCTCGGAATATTTATTAAAACTTGTTTCCTAGACATGCATCTAAAGTTGGCGCAGTGGGTTAAACCCCTGTGCCGGCAGGACTGAAGACCGACAGGTCGCAGGTTCGAATCCGGGGAGAGGCGGATGAGCTCCCTCTATCAGCTCCAGCTCCTTATGCCAGGACATGAGAGAAGCCTTCCACAAGGATGATAAAAACATCAAATCATCCGAGCGTCCCCTGAGCATGTCCTTGCAGACGGCCAATTCTCTCATACCTGAAGCGACCTGCAGTTTCTCAAGTCGCTCCTGACACGATAAAAAATAAAATAAAATCTAAAGTTGTGAAAAGTCACTGCAGTGTGACCTTGGCATCCATTGGGGTTTGGTTTCAGGACCCTCTGGTGATATTTTAATATCATTAATATCATGTAATATTTTAATCCATGGCTGTGCAAGGCCCATTCTATACAATGGTGGAGTAAAGTGGTGTCCCTTATATGAAATGGAAGAAGTTTCAATTGGCAGTGAGAGACAGCTTGGCCTGAAGATAAGGGCTTCCTCAGACCCCAACATACCTGTGAGAGTCCACAGCGCGCCCGTCACTCAACTGCCCCGCATTTTATACATCACGGGAGGGGGCGGGGCGTAGCCACGTTATCGATGACGTCACACGCTTCCCGCCCATTTCCTTCTTCTCCAATGCGGAAGTGTGTCTTCCCGTCACGCTCAGCGCCGTATCCTAGCAACCGGAGCCAAACAAGAGAGGCAGGCGGGACTGTATGCAACAGAGAGAAGGAAAGACGCGGGTAGTCTTTATAGCAATCCCTCTCCCTTTAAAAAAGAGTGCACGCTGCTGTTATGCCGTCGCTTCTATAATGGCCCCAAGGATGGCTGTAAGGTAAATGGACCGCCTTTCCTCTGTATGCACGCTCCCCATCATTTTCCCCGTGTTTCTTGGGTGTCTGGCTGCTGGTCAAAGCTGTCTTTGGCCCATTGGTTAGGACTGCATCTCCCAGAAGCGCCAGTCAATTCGACTGACAGGAATTCTGGGATCTAAAACCTATAGAGCAGCCCTGGGCAAACTTCGTCAGCCTCCAGATATTTTGGACTTCAACTCCCACAAGCAGCTAAAGTTTGCCCAATCTCGATAAAATAGTAAAGAGTAGAGACATCAGACTGGCAACAAAGATCCGCCTAGTCAAAGCCATGGTATTCCCTGTAGTAACCTACGGATGTGAGAGCTGGACCTTAGGGAAGGCTGAGCGAAGGAAGATAGATGCTTTTGAGCTGTGGTGTTGGAGGAAAGTCCTGAGAGTGCCTTGGACTGCGAGAAGATCCAACCAGTCCATCCTCCAGGAAATAAAGCCCGACTGCTCATTGGAGGGAAGGATACTAGAGACAAAGTTGAAGTACTTTGGCCACATCATGAGGAGCCCCCGGTGGCGCAGTGGGTTAAACCCTGTGCCGGCAGGACTGAAGACCGACAGGTCGCAGGTTCGAATCCGGGGAGAGGTGGATGAGCTCCCTCTATCAGCTCCAGCTCCTCATGCGGGGACATGAGACAAGCCTCCCACAAGGATGATAAATACATCAAAATCATCCGGGCGTCTCCTGGGCAACAAACTTGCAGACGGCCAATTCTCTCACAACAGGATGCTTCTGACACAACCAAAAAAAAATCATGAGGAGACAGCAAAGCCTAGAGAAGACAATTATGCTGAGGAAAGTGGAAGGTAAAAGGTAGAGGGGCCGACCAAGGGCAAGATGGATGGATGGCATCCTTGAAGTGACTGGACTGACCTTGAAGGAGCTGGGGGTGGTGATGGCCGACAGTGAGCTCTGGCGTGGGCTGGTCCATGAGGTCACGAAGAGTCGGAGACGACTGAACGAATGAACAACAACAAAGTTTGCCCAGGGCTGCTATAGAGGTAGACATTTGGGAATCAGTGTTCCCAATAGCTATTTTTTAAAAAATTGTCTTTCTTTTCCTTTCTAAAGGTGTGTCTATACCAGGGGTCCTCAAACTTTTTAAACAAAGGGCCAGGTCACAGTCTCTCAAACTGCTGGAGGGCCGGATTATAATTTGAAAAAAGGATGATGAATTCCCATGCACACTGCACATATCTTATTTGTAGTGCAAAAAACACTTTAAAACAATTGTTGTTGTTGTTCATTCGTTCAGTCGTCTCCGACTCTTCGTGACCTCATGGACCAGCCCACGCCAGAGCTCCCTGTCGGCCGTTACCACCCCCAGCTCCCTCAAGGTCAGTCCAGTCACTTCAAGGATGCCATCCATCCATCTTGCCCTTGGTCGGCCCCTCTTCCTTTTGCCTTCCACTTTCCCCAGCATAATTGTCTTCTCTAGGCTTTCCTGTCTCCTCATGATGTGGGCAAAGTACTTCAACTTTGTCTCTAGTATCTTTCCCTCCAGTGAGCAGTCGGGCTTTATTTCCTGGAGGATGGACTGGTTGGATCTTCTCGCAGTCCAAGGCACTCTCAGAACTCTCAAAACAATACAATAATTAAAATGAACAATTTTAACAAATATAAACTTACTAGCTGTCCCCTGCCACACGTTGCTGTAGCCCAGTCTGGTGATCTGGAAAATAAAGTAATGGTTTTTAATATATGTAATTCCTTTATGCTTGTGGGTAAACAGTATTCCTTGTTGTTTCTATGTCAGTGTTGATGTGGAGATTGTCTGGTTTGCTACTCTGGAGCATGCAACATATAATTGTCCTTCTTTAGGGGTCCCTTTCAAATCTATGATACTATATCTCTGTGTGTGAATCATATCCTCTAAACCTTTTTCCTTTTGTTTAGGAAGGATTCCTAATTCCAATGTAAGTTTATATTAAAACAGTATACATAAGCATTTTAAACACTCAATACTTATCCTTACATAAACACAAATATAATAAATACATTTCCTGGGGAAAAAAACATGTTAACAAAGCAAACATATACATTTACCTACAGATCATTACCCAGTCTTCTCTATATATACAGTCCTCCGGTCTTCTTACTCTATTACTCTGGATTGAGCATCGGCCATGGCATTTTCTTTACCCCTTACATGTTTTATATCAAAGTCAAAGTCCTGGATTGTCAAACTCCACCGAATTAGTTTGCTGTTGGTACCTCTAATCTGGTTTAACCACCTTAAAGATGAGTGATCAGTGTACTTATGTAATTATGAGATAGGAGCAGAAATAAGAATGAAGGGAAGAGTTTTGCATAAATAAATAAGCTAGGGAGGAGACCACTTGATGTATTGGAGTAGTGTTAATACTATGTGTCCAATATGGGAGCTGCATAGCTCATTGCAGAAGGTATGCCTTAATCTTCACAGCAGCATGCTGCAATTTATAAGTGGTTGTTGCTGATACTATTTTTATTAGAAATATTTATAGATTTTCTACCTACTATAGTCTCTTATTTATTTTTTGTATTGTTATACCCATAATACACATATATGAACGTGTTCATATACATAGACAGCCCACCATCAGCCCATTGTCCCACCCCCAGTGCACCCACCACCTTGACTTCAATCACCAACCATCATAGAATTTATGCTTATTGTATTGCCTCTCTATAATTCTAGGTCAATAGATTCCTCTTGTCTTTATTACTTAATTTCTCCCATCAAATATGCTATAGCCGGCTTCCAATTAATTGCAAAAACTTCATAGCTTTCATGTTTCAAATTACATCCTGGCTATCTGTATATAATCCCACAATGTGTCCCTCCAATTTTTTATGCTTAACGTTTTTTCACCTTTCCAGTCTCTGGCAATCATTATGCGTGCAGTCACAAAGCTGTACTGACAATTTTCTCTTTCGAGCTGCTCTAGATTGTCTCTGAATAAATCCAGTAGGCACATCCCTGGTTTTTTTTAAATTTTGATGTGGATCATATTGTTTCCTTAATCATTTGTTCCCAGTAAGCCTGCACCCATATGCAAGACCACCACACGTAGAAGAATGTCCCTTTCTGTATTTTGCACCTCCAAAAGAATCCTGATTGTGAATTATCTATTTTAGCTAGGAGAGCTAGGGTTGTATAACACCTGTAAAACATTTTATATAGATTATCTATAACTGAAACTGCAACTGTGAATTTGAAGACTTTGTTTCACAAGTATCCCCATTTATCCAGATCTATATTGCTCCCTAAATCTTTTGCCCATAAAATCATGGAGGTTTTTACTATAGTCTCATAGCAAGCTTAGTTTAAAACAATCATAGAGTAAATAACATTACAGCAAATTAAAAGATAAAAGTTATGTTTTTTCCCACTTCACTTACAGATGACAGTTTTCAATGTTGCTTCACTACAGAAGAGTCCTTAATTCTTCAGATTCAATATAAATACCAAGTTAATTTTGCTGTATGACGCCATGCTGAGATTCCAAGAAGTTAAGCCTGGTACTTCTCTAACATCTATTTCTGCTGGCCCAAAGGCATTGATTGCAGGACGATACACTATTCAGCAAAAACTTGGATGTGGAAGCTTTGGAACTGTCTATTTGGTTTTTGATAAAAAAGCCAAAGGAGGAGAAGAAGAATCGTAAGTGCCGTGTAGTGTGAACTAACTGATTACACAGTTTACCTGTCTGATTTGTTGTTTTTGAAATATTGCTGTCTTCAAATGTAAATGGTGAAACATAAAGAAGTAAAAATTGTTTCCATGCAATTTTTGGTCTGTTTTTACTATTTATTTATTTATTTATTTATTTATTTATTGTCAGGCAACCGAACAGTTGTATTACATTTTTGACAGAACAAACAAACAAACATACAAAAGACACAAAGTTTGCAAGCTTGGTAGTTGATTAAATGTCCTTTGACCAGTATCTGGCCACTTGGAGTGCTTCTGGTGTTGCCGCAAGAAGGTCCTCCATTGTGCATGTAGCAGGGCTCAGGTTGCATTGCAGCAGGTGGTCTGTAGTTTGCTCTTCTCCACACTCGCATGTTGTGGATTCCACTTTGTAGCCCCATTTCTTAAGGTTGGCTCTGCATCTCGTGGTGCCAGAGCGCAGTCTGTTCAGCGCCTTCCAAGTTGCCCAGTTTTCTGTGTGCCCAGGGGGGAGTCTCTCATTTGGTATCAGCCATTGATTGAGGTTCTGGGTTTGAGCCTGCCACTTTTGGACTCTCGTTTGCTGAGGTGTTCCAGCGAGTGTCTCTGTAGATCTTAGAAAACTATTTCTTGATTTAAGTCGTTGACGTGCTGGCTGATGCCCAAACAAGGGATGAGCTGGAGATGTCTCTGCCTTGGTCCTTTCACTATTGGCTGCTACCTCCTGGCGGATGTCAGGTGGTACAATACCAGCTAAGCAGTGTTTTTACTATGTAAAGGGCTTAGAGATCTAAAATGTATTTAAAATACTAGATCATTTACAATCTATTTATCTGGGACTCATTTCTGAGTAGACATGTCTAAATATACATGTTTGCATCAGAAATGAAGCCCAGATAAATTGACATTAAACTTCTTGTTTGTTTCTTTTTTCATTCATCTTTGCTGGCATCTCCCCACTCCCTCACTTTTCATGTGCACATATGTAATAAGAAATGCAGGCTGGTGGAGTCCTTTCAAAAAGTATGATGCCCATGCAACCAAAATATGCAATAGTTTTTAATGAATTTGAGAATGCATATTTTGAAATTGGGTGTCTAAACATGGATGTGGAAACATTACTACAGTCAACTTGGTTTCTGACAAATTAGTTTTTACACTCTTTCTAAGATCAGACAGGATCTGGTGCCTTTAGTGTATTTAGGCAAGGTTCACCTAAAGCAAGATATTGAGATGATACATGTAATAAACCAATGTGCAATTTTCTTGAAATACATTCAAATTTCTCTTTTTAAATGGGGCATTACATTCAAGCTCTTTAAACATATTTTTACTAAATATCCAGAAGCCTCCCAAGAATATGGCTGTGTAAGCTTTGGTTTTGATAGATCTAAATGTTTGATTCTTAGTGATAACTACTACAACAATATTATGATGATGGGGAGATCACTCAAATACTAAGCTGGGGTGTTGTGTGGTTTCTGGGATGTATGGCCATGTTCTAGCAGCATTTTTTCCTGATGTTTTGCCTGCATCTGTGGTTGGCATCTTCAGAGGATCTGATGATTATAAAGCAAGTGGAACATATATACCTGTGGAATGTCCAGGGTGGGTGAAAGAACCCATGTCCATAAACGACACAACACCCCCATGAAAGCCTTCAACAATATATCAAATACTAAGCTGTTCTTAGAAACCCTGGAGCTACCACTATTTTGATTTAAAAAGATTTTAGCAGGGAACCTTACAAAAGGGCTAATTTCTGGTTTATTAAAATATTGTATATTCACTTGAGTTTGTTCAGCCAAAATTCTAATATCTCAACTTTGCTTCATGACTACTTTTGGGCCCAGAGCTGTAAATTCAGGGCTAACAGATTCTTAACGTTAAAAAACACACTGTGCTTCGCAATAATGTTGGATTTTCTGAGACATAGTGGCAGTTTACCAGGTTTGATAAAAAGCATTCCCAAAATGTTAGAGAAAGAATCCACCATGATTGGGTTCATCCATGCATGCCAACCCAGGTAGGTACACAGGGATGAACCCAATCATGGTGAATTACTCTTCCTCCCAACCTAGAATGAATCTTCACAGTAAGTCTAACTCCTCTTTCTCTCTGGATTATTGGGTAAGAAGACAGGAGAAGAAAATTCAGCAGGAAGCACCAGGGAATAAGTTCTAACCAAAGATGCAGGTTGGGGGCCAGAGCAGAGCTGAAAAAACATGTCAAAATAATAATAATAATAATAATAATAATAATAATAATAATAATGAAGTGCCTAAAGACCTTGGCCTGCACTTTAACACAATCGGCGCTGACAATATTACCATCTGCCAGCTGCAGAAGACCACCTTACTGGGATCTGCACGTATTATTCGCCGATACATCACACAGTCCTAGACACTTGGGAAGTGTCCGACGTGTGATCCAATACAACAGCCAGCAGAGTGTCTGCTGTGGACTCATCTTGTGAAGACCAATCAGTCTCTGGGTTGCCCAGAGTTGATACAGCTAAGTTTGGTTTGGATCCATAGAAGTTTGTTCTTCCTTTATTACTGCTACATCCACTTAGCTATTCAAAGTAGTATAGCCAAGGCAATTATCAAATCAAATGATAATTGTCAAACTTAACTGAGTTTGCATGTGTTAGTGGTAAAACTTGCTGATCTGCTAGATACACAGAAACATTTCACGACTGGGACATTTTCCTGGCAGGGTTTTTGATGAACCTAAGCAAAGGTATCCTCTTAGATTAGCTGGCTGGAAAATGGCAATTAAGTAAACATTTGCTCAGTTTACACTGATGATGGTGGTGGTGGTGGTGGTGATGATTTATATGCCTATTTTTTTTTCACTTGAAGAGGTATGCAAGGACTTCCTTTCATTTAATTAAAATGGAGGTGAATACACACAGACTCTCTCTACATTGGCATGTAATCCAGATTATCAAAGCAGATAATCCACATTATCTGCCTTGAACTGGATTATATGAATTTACACTACCATATAATCCAGTTCAAAGCAGGTAATCTGGATTGTATATGACAGTGTAGAAGGAGCCACAGTGGCTCTTCTGTGACATTCCAGAATGTTAGCCATATATCTGGCAGATATTTTGGTTCTCTTTTGTAAATTCAAATGGATTGCTGAAGAAACATATCAGAGCAATGCTGAGTGAATCTATAGTGCACAGAAATTGTGCTTATAAAGACAACATATCAATGATGTCTCTGTTACTTTGTGTTACTTTTTTTGCTTATCAAACCCTGCAGTTTAGCATTGCCCCACTTGAGGGAGCCAGTGTATAATTCATATAAGAATGCAGTAAGGTTTTTTTTCCTGAGATCTCACAAGAGCCTTCCCCTGAAATACCATTTAGCCACAGTTGTGTACTTTTACTAGAGCACTTATGTGTCATAGGGGAGAAATTAAGTCATGTGAAACAGATAGATAGCTGTAATTTTGGCAAAAGGCGTAAAGAGAGAACTTCCTACATGAATACATTATGTGCATGAAAATGTGCACATAATATTGAATTTCTCTTTTAAAAAAACAATATCCAAAAAAATCAATATTATTGTCGAAGGCTTTCATGGCCGGAATCACTGGGTTGCTGTAGGTTTTTTTGGGCTATATGGCCATGTTCTAGAGGCATTCTCTCCTGATGTTTCACCTGCATCTATGGCAAGCATCCTCAGAGGTAGTGAGGGGGATGCTTGCCATAGATGCAGGTGAAATGTCAGGAAAGAATGCCTCTAGAACATGGCCATATAGCCCAAAAAAACCTACAACAACCCAATATCTAGTTTAATAGCTAGCAGACCTAGTTTTAAACCAGTCCTGAGGTGAATTTAAAACTGCTGTGGGCTTCTGTAATTCATAGCTATTACCATTTAGAGAGGTCACTCCAGTTGAAATCCCTTCTGTATGAAATATACTATCTTCTGCTTGGAAATATTCTGTTATCTTCACTCTGTTACTGATTTTGTTTCCTTGTGCCAATAAAGAATTGCAGTAGTGGCATAGTGTGTTGTCCAAAACAGCATAAAAGAACTGTCCCTTACCTTTTGGATGATTTGCAGTTGATCAGTAAGGTTTTCTGACATTTAACGTTTAACAAATTGCAATGTTTCTTCAATTCAACTTCAGTGTATGATAGCACTGTTAACTGTATTAACAGTACTGTTCAGTCTTGCAAACACTGTGGTTTTATTGACTGAGTCAATCTGTAGTTCAGTCTTCCTCTTTTCCTTATGCTTTCAACTATTATAATTTAGTAACAGTACCTGCTGCAAGACTCCTAAAATTACAAGTAACGTGGGGAAGCAGCCAATATGAAAAGGGAAGGGAACAATGAATAGCTTTTTGGGATGCTTTAAATGTTCTTTTTTCTATTTAATAATTTTGGAATAATGATTAAAAGTCTCTGCCTAAAACTCATTGGTGAAGTCTGAATTTTTGCTATGTGACCAGGATGGGCAGAATTGTATATGCTGTATGAAAACCCTTATCATATGATGTCACTTGGTCATGATATCATGATTGTCCTGGTGCTAAGTGTTGTCGAAGGCTTTCATGGCCGGAATCACTGGGTTGCTGTGAGTTTTCTGGGCAGTATGCCATGTTCCAGAAGCATTCTCTCCTGACGTTTCACCCATATCTATGGCAGGCATCCTCAGAGGCTGTGAGGTCAGATGGAAACTAGGCAAGTGAGATTTATATATCTGAGGAATGTCCAGGGTGGGAGAAAGAATTCTTGTCTGCTTTAGGCAAGTGTGAATGTTGCAATTGGCCACCTTGATTAGCATTTAATGGCCTTGGAGCTTCAAGGCCCAGCTGGTTGCTGTTTGGAGGATCCTTTGTTGGGTGGTATTAGCTGGTCATGGTTGATTCTTGTCTGGAATTCCCCTGTTTTTGAGTGTTGCTCTTTATTTACTGTCCTGATTTTAGAGTTTTTAGAATGTGAATGTCTCATTCCACCTCACTGC